AATTTCTGGACTCTGGGAGTATGAGTGATTGCTCTGAATATGAATACTCACAGCAACCCTCTTTAAACCAATGCTTCTTGAAATCTGTTATCCATAGATAGAAGGAGGACACACAACCCTACAAACCACCTAATTTACCTTGATGTAGAAAGACCAAGAGTTTTGTTGTGAATGAGATAAGGTGATATATTAAAAAGAGGTAAATGAATTGCTTATATGGAACTAATGTAGAATCTGTCATACAGTCACTAAGACAATAAGGGACACTTCTCGACTTGGTGGTAATATCCCCACCCCCTTCTTTCCTTTTACAACTTTGAGATAAATTATTCATGCAAATTTGAATAATTTGACTAGAATACCTATTCTGATCAAAATACTTACAATTTTTTCCTTCTTACGCCTGAAGGAAATAATCTGGTAATTGGTCTGTTTTCTAGACAAAGATGTAAGTGAATGTCCTGGCTTATTTTAATCTGTTTTTAAAGCTATGATACAATTGATACATAGTTTAAGAACAATCTTCTGAAGACCAGTCAATTAAATCATTTTATGTCTTCCTAACTACTGCCCTTTTTTGAAGATTACTTGAGAAAATGTGGTGCATCTGCAAAGTCACATGCTTTGCCTCCTTTTTGTTCTGGATTTTTTTCTTTGCAAGTTAGTGGAAAGGGAACTGGTCAGATTTTGCACTCAATAAAAACAAAGGGAGGCATAAACAGCTTTCTTTCATCTGGGAAATCTTAAGTCATTGAGAACATGCTTTCAACTATTAACTACTCTTTGAAATTATTGGCAGACTCCTCTTGATTCACTTTAACATAAAAATTGTTGACTAAGATGAAATATTTTTTATTGTGTACACAAATGAAAGCATAATGGTTTTTGCATCATTGCATAAGTCTAAGAGATTGTGCATACATAAAAAGGATGAGACAAAGCTGAATAGTAAATGCCAAAACAAACAAAGCTTGAGTACTTACTATTTGACGCTAAGGGTAATGGCCTGTGATTCCATCCAGTGAGAATAATAACTGTTCTTCTGATACAGCTTCTTCCTCTTGTCCTAGATTCATCTCTCAGCAAACACTATTAACCCTTGTTTTAAAAAAGTGTTTATCACACTGTCTTCTTACACTTAGACACTCTGTGTTAATAGTTCATCCTCAGAGATTGTAACCCTAGAATGGATCACTGACTCCCATTACCATCTGTTTTTGTGGTCTTCACGAATTCTTTGTGTTTATTGTATGGACCTTCAAATGAATTAGTTTTTTGGTTTAGTACAAGTAAACTTACAGGTTTATTTTTCTGGAGGCCATAACTCCATCATTCAGTGATTGTGTAGGCATCCATTTGTCATCAATTCTCTGGAGTATGTTTTAAAATTGGATTTGTTATTGTTATCAAGTAGTTGTACACAGTGGTTACCATTCAACATCCCAGTATACAAGTACAATGCATCTTGAGCAATATCATTCTTTTTTTTTTTTATCATTTCCCCCCATCCTTCCAAACCCAACCTTTCTCTTCAGTTTTCCTTGCTTTATAATTCTTAATTCTTGATTTGAATTCTGGAGTTTGTCAATTGGACATGTGATATACACAGCCAGGAACATTACACAGCAACACAAAGTTGCTGTTTAATAAAGATTCTGCCCTTTTAACATTCCATATATTTCCCTTTTGAGGCCTGGGAGTGGTAAAAGAAAGTACTAAACTTAGAAAGGTAGTTTCTGGGGCCCACTTGTCATCAATCTCTGTCCTTTGCCTTACTGTTACTTCCCCACCATCCTGTTTCATATTATGGACATAGGATCTACAAGATCTCTTGGACATTATGTGCTAAAATTTGGGAAGAACACACTGTGTAATGAAAAAAATGTTAAGAGAAAATTGTAAGGTTAGTTTACCATAGAAAATGTCACTGAGGATTTAGAATGGAATTTGAGGTGGTCCTAGAAGGATGAGCTGAGTTCAGAAAAAGGAAGCAGAGAAAAATTTCATTCAAGGAGGACCTCTGGAACAAAAGTGAGATGGATGGGAAGCTGGTGTTCTAGGTTACAGTGGGAGTAAACTGGAAGAATAGGTAAGTTAGTGTGTATGAGGTATTAGACTTTGTTTCTTGATTAATGATTTGATTGATTACATTCACTCAACAAATGGTTTCACATAATCCACAGGATAAAAGTCAAACCTCTTCCCTGTTGTGTGCTGGCTTCTGCATACTGTAAAATTCACTGCCCTCAATACCATGAAGCCTCTTTTCAGTCATATTGAATGCTTTGGTGATGCTCACAGTACATTACAAATGTCTACATTCCTATAGACTATTTTCTTCTGGTTTACCTGATGAATTCTCCATTCTTAAGACTTAGCTGAAAAAGAATTTCTATTATGTCTCGGCTACTGTAAAATAATTGAGACTATACTATTAAATACTCTATCTAATATTTATTGTTGTTAGGGTATATGAGCTCACACATCCGGAGCTTTCTGAGAGTAAGAGTGTGTCTTATTTAATTTTGTGACTATCACCAAGTGTAGTACCTAGCATAGCTAATTAAGGAAACAAGTAATTTTTGAATGCAATATTTAGTTTACATTGTATATAGTTTAATTTTAAAAGAGTGATCTAAGAACAATGTGATTTATAGATTGAAGACAGGAAATGCAGAGAGACCAGTTACATGTGCCTTTTTTGCAGTAGAAGATCACAAGGGGTTAATTTTTTCTTGGAAGAGGACTTTTTTTTTTTTTAAAGATAAGTGTTAATGACTGGCTGCTAAGGGCAAGAGAGAGGAGAGAGTTAAAGCCAGTGAAGATTTCAGATAATATGACAATTCACAAAACATTGACTTTTGCAGAACATAAAGTTACTTTCAAGCAATTATGTTCTCTTCCCCCTAAGTCAGACCTCCTGGTATTAGTTTTTGTCTCACTCCACCTTTGCTCTCAAAATAAAACACTTTGTTCCCGTTCAGCTTCCTAGAATGAAGCTCAAAACTCATGTGCTTCTCATTTTCATGTCTGATCAGGAGTTTAGATATGAAATATAAATAGGTCAAGTACAATGACTCCAATTTCCTATGGAGAAGGTGTGCAGTGCGTAGGTTTTGAATATGTAAAGCCTGCTTGTGCTTTTGCCAGCAGCGTCTGAAGTGCTATACCAGGCAGATACACTGGGGTGCGCTACTATGTAGCAGAGCTGTGCATCACAGCTCTTAACTTTAAAACTCCAGAGAATTTGATGAGAGAGGGATCCACAAGAACATGACAAATGATGAGAGTTCAAACCTTAAGAGAAAAATGGGCTTATTGGTAAGAGACCTTTCTTTTCCTTTATTTACTGCTGTTACTTATTCATTAAAATAGCAAGCCTGTTATTTTCTGTTGTGGCTGTGAAGCGGTATACAAAAATCAATTTTATATGTATTGTAGAATCCAGGAGACATATTGGTAACCATGTAAAAATCATAGGGAGCTTGTGAAAAGCTTGATTTTTGCATAAAATCTCTCAGGAGATTTTATTTGACTTCAGACTATAACATATTTATATATCTTAAATGCAATGCAGGTTAAGAAATATATATATTTAAAAAGTTAAAATAAAGAATAGTGACTTGTGTAGAGATGAATAATTTCACTCAGTTACCAGAAGGTGGCACACCAGATTTTTCTTCCTTACACAAAGAAAAAGAATAATATTAATAGGAATATAAAATAAGCTGTATTTAAAGATGTTTTAATGTATTTTAAAGCAAGAAAATCATATAATTGTTATTTTCTTGGTGTAGTTCAATGCTAGAACATGACAAATGTGAATTTAACATATTGTACCTTTTTATCATGGTATAATAATATTTGTGTGTATAGCATTTTAAAAGTAGACTTTGAAATAGTATTGTCATTAAGGACATGCTGCTTTGAATATACTCTTGTAGGGAAGAAATAAAATACTTACTAGCCACATTTTTACATAGAAAGTCATATTTAGGACAACATTTTGAATGATGTCTTTGTCAAGGACTTCTTAAAGATACTATTAAGCTCCGAGTGATTTAGTTATGACTTTAATAATGCAATAGTGTTTGTGAGATGACCCAGGAAAAATCTGAGAGTTTATTTTGAGGAAAACGTTAGATAATGTTTACTTTCTATAAGCTAATAACAGCACAAATGCCATAAATGTAAATTAATTAAATATTGTGCTAGAGCTCCTCAAACATCTGCCAGTATATTGTGAATTTTTTTCAGAGTTGATTGTTGTCCATATATAATATACTGCATTGCTTTTGTAGCAGTCTATTTTTAAAACTGCATTCCTAAGGCAGTATTAGAACTGTGTCTATCCAGTGTTTATTTTCGTGTATGAGCCTGAAGGAGCTAGCTATGTCGCAAAAATCTAACAAAAATCAAATCTTTTGGTTACAAGTGTGCCTATTTATATGTTTTTATTAATTATAAGCAGGATGAAAAAAAATAGTAGTAAGTGAACCTAGAAGAACATTAGCCATCTGTTCTCTGAAAGCTTATAATGTGTGTCATTTGCTTTCAGGTTTTTAATGGCAAAGCAGTATATTAGCAAAGAATTGACCTTTAGGCTTAAAAAGCTAGAAAATGACAAATTATTCCAAATGCTGAGTATATATTTACTGGGCAAGTGTTTCTTTGTGACCAGATTTAATGAGTTTAGTCTTGTAGATCAGCTACAAATAAATGTTATACTTAATGTCAATCTTTATTTCAGTGTTTCTGAAATATTATGAGAGCATTTAAAAAACAAATCAAATTTTATTTTCTAGCTAAGGTTTTAAAAATTAATTTACATCATTTTAAATTGTTCTGTGTGGCTTCATTTGTTCAGGATTTATAATTATGCTTTATTCATTTATAACTAAAATACTTCCAGGATATGCTTTGAAAATTTTGAACTAAATGCAATAAAGCCACAATTAACCAGTTTTTTTGTTTTTGTTTTTTTTGCACTCCACTTTCAGGAGACGGAGGCAATTGTCTTTAAAACAAGCCGATTTCAAGGATATATTCAAAAAATCAACTTCAGGGTATGTCCAAGGGTCTGCATTTTCCTTTGCCTTCTTTTCAATGAGAATTTATTTTCATGAGAGACCCTAGGCTAGAAGATAGTTATCAAATACAATTTTAGTGATGTCACAAGTATTGTGTTTATCAGAAAATTTATTTTAAATATCACACATTCTTATACAATCCAGTCTGCATTACATTTTCCAGTCTATTTTCACAAATGTATGTTCGTTTGGCTTTCATCTCATTGCACTGAAGGAACAGCAAAGGAGATTTTCCCCTAGTTTATAAATGAGAAAGGTAACACTGGAGATCCTAAAGCTAATTAGTGACAGAGCTGTAACCAGATCACAGGTGCCTGCTCTATCTTCTTTTGCATTCTTCCAAATGGAAAAAGTTTGAAACAAGTTTTTAACTTTTACATCTCCATTGCACAATCCATATGATTTGTTACTACATTTTTTTTTGCACAATCACTATTATTTGTTAGTACAGTTTTTCTAATTCTTTTTTTTTTTTACAGTGAAAGCAGGGGTTATACTGTGGGGGACATTTTTTTCTAATTCTTGTACCTCCTAATTCCTCACTCTGTATCTGTCTGCCTAAGTGTGCCTATCTGTTTGCCAGTTGGACACCTTGCTTTCAGATTCTCCTAGACTTGGAAGGCTTTGGAGTGTGGGAGGGCAAGATAATGACTGTGGACAGTTTGGCTAGACAACTGTTGGGAGCAGCCAATGTTGATATGCTAAGGAAGGCCAGGAAGTGAGAGAACAAATATAACTGTAGTTGGGGTAGGAGTTAGTAACCTTGACTTGAAAACCATGTTTCTCCAAGTCTAGTAGACCTGGTGTGATGTCAGAATACTTGTTTAAAACAGAGTATGGGTGCCCACCTCCAGATTCCCATGTTTTAGTCACTTTCAATTGATGCTTAGCACACTAATGTTTGAAAACATTTCCCTTAAAGGCATAAAACTTGTCGCTCTTGACTGTTGCAAGAAAAGAGCCCCTTTCCTTTCCATGACTCTGTGTTTCCTGTCAAAGCATATCAACTAGGGTAGTGATGAGGACAAGGGATTGGGCTGGCGAAGCTGCAAAATGATAGGCAGTATTTGTGTACATGATGGTATCTGTCAGATACATATTATAGTAGTTAATACATAGTTTTAAAATTGTGTTATTTTGGAAAGGCTTATGTGCATTTTTAGACTTGAAGCAGGTAAAATGCAGGAAGATTTCCACCAGAAGGTGAAAAATAATTTTCCATATTTTAATAGGTAATTTTTTCCATGTGTTTTTATTTTAGAACAATTTTGAAAGACTTGTCTATAAAATAACATTATCTAAAGGCTTAAATAGTTAAGGTTTTACTGTATCACTATATTTATTCACACTTGTGTCTCATATGTGAGTATTCAGTCTGCCTGATTGGATTGTGAGGAACTTGTAGCCAGGATACTGTACTCCTCTCTCTCTCTCTCTCTCTCTCTCTCTCTCTCTCTCTCTCTCATATACATATATATTTATATATTAGGGTTTGAAAGGCTTTTATTTTTTATTTTTTTGGCCCATGTTATACCATTACTGTCTTTATTACTTTCATACTCATTCTGTAGGAGTCTTCCTTGAACCCATTGGCAGCAACTTTTAGCTTATTCCTCTAGTCTTCTCTATATGTGTAACATCTAGGAGAATCATATGTTTTCAGTACTTACTGATGGTTGTACTAATTTATTTTTTTGTTTTTTTCAAATTCTTTATTGTGTTTAAGTGGTTACATAATTGGTTGTACTAATTTAGCATGCACCTCCTCACTAGGTGTTTTGGGCTAGGCACAGTGAATTGATTGACTTTGGTATTTGTGATGTGTAAGAGTTTGTGTTACATTATGCTTAATATACTAAAGAGGCCTCAGTTGAAACATGTGCATTTTTAATTGGCAAATAAGAAAGCACGGTCTTAGTTAATAACTTTGTTAGTGCTTTTTTGTTTTCAGGTTAACTTCAGTCCTCCATCTTTGTCCTCCATCTTTGTCCGTTTTGAGATACAAGTTTTGTTGGTCTATACGTTAGAAAGCGGAATCTCAAAGGTTGGCATTTTTGGAAACTCCCCCAAATAAATTTGTTGTTTATAATGTATGAACAGTATCATAAGAATTTACAAAAATAACCAGAACTTGTAATGAAAGGTTTATAAAAATGCTCAATAGTGTCTCTTACTTAGATCAAGCTAGATAAGAAATGAATGAATAAATATATACTAGCCAAAGGGAAGATATATTTCACTGAAGGTAGCTTCAGAAATCCATGAGAAATAACTGATTATTGAAAACACATATTTGGTTTTGAAGACATGAACTCATAGTTGAAGCAGCCAAATTTAGAAAGGTAGTCAGGGAACTCATGTTTAAATCACATTTAGCTTAAACCTAGGGTGAACCTAGGAGATGAATTCTATTTCTACTCAAAATTTCCTTTTCATGAGATAAAGGAAAAGAAATGGCTTATCAATTGGAAAACCATTGAATCCAAATAATAATATTAGACATAATAACAAAACAATGATGTAGTTAGGTCATGACACATGGATGGACACTTTTTAATAATGTACTAATGATATGTTATATCACAGAATTTTAATTAAATTGTTGTTTGCAGGCGTAACTATTTTATTTTTTGTTTCTTTTTTCATCTATTTTTGAAATTTTTTTTTGCCAGACCTGTTGCTTGAACTCTCTTTGTGCTCACGGCTAGCACTCTACCACTTGAGCCACAGAGTCATTTCTGGTTTTTTTCTGAGTAGTTTATTGGAGATAAGAGTCTTATGGACTTTCCTGCCCAGGCTGGCTTTGAATCGTGATCCTCAGATTTTAGCCTCCTGAGTAGCTAGGATTGCAGGTGTGAGCCACCAGAATATTTTTATAATCCTAAGTAGTTGTACAGAGGAGTTGCCATTCACCAAAGATGCTTATGAATTCAGTGCTTCTTGACCAATGTCACTCCTTTCAACATTCTCACCCATCCCTCCCAACCCATCCATTCCCTTACTTATATTAATTTTAGGTTATGTATTTCATTTTTTGCCATTTAACAAAGCAGTTTATCTGTGCAGTGCACCTAGATCTATGTAGACATAGCTATTTTATTTTATTTTTTAGCTATTTTAAATAACATGCTACTTAGCTCACTCCTATAATTTAGACTTTTTCAGTAAAACTGTTTCTATATCTTTTACCTGTTTTAGAGAACTCAAAATAACCAAGGAGAATTCCAAATTTGAAAATGAAATATTTTCATGAAAATGTGAATGTTGACCCAATTGCTTAGTATCTTGGGTATGGGTTGGTAGATAAATACCATTATTATGAACTATGATCTTAAGATATCTACCTAACCTTGTCTATCATAATGGATTCCTAGGTTCCAGTTTGACACTGAGCTGTCTTTGAAATATTAAAGTTTCTCATTTGTTAGGTAATTATGTAAATTAAACCTTTTAGTTTTAGCAAAAAAATTTAGATACTACTTCTTGTGGATTGTATGTGTAGGAAATTTAAAACTTTAATGATTGGATATGGCAAATTTTTTTTTTTTTTCTTTTTGCTTATGTGGTGCTGGGGAATCGAACCCAGGGCCTCAGGCATGCAAGGCAAGTGCTCTACCACTGAGCCACCTTCCCAGCCCCATGGCAAAAATTTTAAGGCAATTGTGTATATAGGTCTTTTTCATAGAAAGTTTGAAGAATTCATTACTGTGCTGTGGCTTCACTGCTATTTGTAACCTAGACTTACCAATGGAGATTGGAAGAGACTAAACAACCAGGTAATTTTCATTTTTGGCAATAATGCTGATGGTTCACATGTGGATGTAATAACTCTTTGAAAATAAATGCATTTTTCAAAGAAGTAGCATTTTGTTAACTTAAATTGGAATGTTGAAGAAAAGTACTATTTGAAATCTGTTTTTAATAAAAGATTAGGTGTTTTTAAAGTAGTGTACAACAAGCCGGGCGCTGGTGGCTCACACCTGTAATCCTAGCTACTCAGGAGGCTGAGATCTGAGGATCGCGGTTCAAAGCCAACCCGGGCAGGAGAGACCGTGAGATTCTTATCTCCAGTAAACCACCAGAAAACTGGAAGTGGCGCTGTAGCTCAAGTGGTAGAGCGCTCGCCTTGAGCTGAAGAGCTGAGGGACAGCGCCCAGGCCCAGAGTTCAAGCCCCATGACCGACAAAAAAATAAATAAATAAAGTAGTGTACAACATAGAAAATACTGAATTTCTGTAATTGCCATATATTTGTGATTTGGCACATAATTTTTTATTATTGAAAAGTTTTTCAAATCATAAATACACATTAGAAATTGTTCACACTTACCAAAATACTGCAGAATTTATAAATGTAAAGATTATGGTGTCTGTTATCTTCACTTAACATTGGTGGTCTTACTTTCATATTTGATGCTACCAAAATTAAATCAAAGCACTTCAACTATTTGAAAGTATGAATACATTTTTTCATACTCTCAACTGTTTCTTTGTTTGCATTGTTTATCTTATTTTAATTATTTTAAAATTTGAACTCATGACCTTATGCATACTAGGTAAGTGTTCTACTACCGAGCCATATCCCCAGCTTGCAATGTACATTTTACATGCACTTTCATTTTGTTTAACTTTGCAAATTTGATGTAAAACATATCACTAATGCTAACAAGAGTGTGCTGTTTTATTTGCATAAAGTACTTTAAGGAGATAGCTTAGGAAGTTGCTGAGACATGACTAAGCACGTAAATGATCATTATTTGTGGTGAGAGCAAACTTTTTTATTACAGCATTTAATTTAAATAAGTCTGTATTTTAGATAATTTTCTTTGACATGCACTTATTTTTTAACCATATAATATCTCTGTTGTCTGGTTTCTCATTCCTGTGGAAATGTCTGAGTGAAACAACTTAAAAGGAAATGTTCATTGGAGCTCGTACTTTCAGAGGTTTCAGAGCAAGGTTGGGAATCCATTGTTT